TGATGACAACGCTATCGCTGTAAAAGGACATGGAGGTAAATAGGGTTGTGAGACGCTGAGGCTGCCACATTTTCTCGACACTCGGCTCACAGATGGCGGTGAGGTTGTCAGTCTTACGCGCCGGATCCCCTTTACCCCTAGGAAGGTTCCCAGTACTCATTTCTGTTACAGGCTGAGTCGACCCCAGGGCCATAGTGCAGTTGGAAGGATTAGGTCAACTGAAAAATCCGATGACCTCATCGGGAATCGAACCCGCGAACTTCTGGCTTGTAGCACAGTACCTCAACCAACTACGCTACCACGTGACCCCGGTTTATACCTTGATATTAAATATAATTTAATCCGTTTTGGAGTAGTTCGGAAATAAAACATGGTGAAGGAAAATTCTAGAATAAAAGTACCGAACGAGTTGGCGTAGTGATTCGTATTTGGAAGCTGCTCGATTCGAATCTCAGCCGGACAGAGGCAACTGTATTTAGGTTCTTCGCGGTTTTCCTCAGTCTTGCCAGGTATATAGCGGGAAAATACGTGCATTAGTCCACAACCGCTTCCTTCCAAATTCATCATTCATCTGTCATTCTACCATTCGACACTATACCGTCTGCGATACTGGAAGCGTTGTAAACAAACCACATTCCATCACCATGGAACAAAAGTAATCAACTGCAGCCCTAATTTGAGACGGGGTCGCATATTCTGATACTTCGAGAAACGGATTCGTGAAGTGATAAAGCTTAAGGATCCCTTGCACCAGAAACACCAAAGCGAGGCCTCTGTCCTTGGATCATAATTCAGGTTTAAGGACGTACACTATTACCACTGCATGACATTGCACACTCACCTGAACTGCTAGCAATAAAGAATGCTGTTGTAATACTGTTCTTCAAAATGTCTAAACAATATATTAATTAAGAATAATCAACACACTCCGAAGGAAAGACCCCACCGCTCCACCCATATTACAAGCTGAAGTTCAATTCTGGGCAAGTTGCTGGAGAACACTTGGGATTTCTGGGGTTTCTGGACTCTGTCTATCGTCTCTTTATTTTAAAGAACACAACATCTCAGATCTGCACATCTGTTTCTGTCCTCAGGTGAGGATCTGATACACCTATTCTGTAGAATCACTTACAAGCAGCTAACCTCAATCACTGGACAACCTTCGTTGGTCGGTCATCGACGTAAATTTCTGCTGGTCCTCGCCAGCACAGTCATTCAGATTATTTCTATGTAATCTTGTAATCTTGAATATGGTGTTTGATTATTGGTTTCCTTTCTTGCAAGCGTTTTCCACTTCCTTTTCTATCCTATTATCACAATTTCTATTGTCAATTTTCCTGTTATCTCCTGTTAACAAGCCTTGATCTCAGGTGTCTATGTAGTTGCAGTTATACTGACATACGTTGTCCAGTGATTGAGGTTAGCTCTTTCCAATGGACCCAACAGAGTAGGTGTCTCCCCCCCATTCACCTAAGGTTGGAAACAAATCCAGCTTCCGAAACATTGTATTCTTCAGAATACTTGGTGATGAACAAGTAAATATAACAGTAATCTTGAGTGTTATACACAATCAACAGAACCCCGTAGAATCTACAGGATAACAACGGGCAAGTATAAAAATATTTATATGAAGCATACAGTGAAAATAAGGACAGGTGGATTTTGTAAAGTGGCCAGTGGATTTATGTTGTATTTATGGTGTACTGGATATTACTGTTACAAGTATATTGCAACAGACGTGTTCATTGTAAAGACACTCATTATGGCTTCGGTATGTACAAATCCCACTAAACATGTCATTTTTCATATGGATATCGTACATGAAAATTCATTTCAACGTGTAACTCTCACATGGCATTTTGACACATGCAACGAGGTTGGCTGAATGTTTAATATAGGAGTATGGAGTTGAGATTACAGTCAACAGGCATATAATGCATAAGTTCCTTTCGCAGTAGCTGTTCAAAGATTTGTTGGGACGACATTGATCCCTCCCCATCAGCCCGACCAAAATATTCGTGGCTGGCTCTTGGGTAACACAAGTCTTAAATTGGCATTTGAAATTCTTGAAACTGGTCTAGAAATTTGGAAGTATGTGAGAATTTCTTAAATTTTCAAAGATTCATAAGTGCTGTGTAACTCCTGAATTTCTATAAAAATCAGAAAAATTATAAAACAAAAAGCACATCATTGTACACATAGGAGCCAGAAGGTTGAGGCAAGCCAGGCATTTTCCCAGCATTAAATTTGGAAAGATCAAACTGAAAAATGAAAATAAAGCAAACAATATTAAAATTAAAAGCATTTTAAAAAGGTATCATTGTATCCTGAATAGTCTACAGTGATCAGTAAAAACAGCCTTAAACTAGTTAAATGTGACATTCCCCTTCCCGGAAAAATATCCTAGTGGCACATATGAATGAACACATTTTCAAGTATTCCTTCTGGGTTACATACAGCCCACTGACTTGAAGGCTGAGTAGAGAAGTTAACAAAAGAATAAAAAGTACTAATATGTAGATCAAAGATCGTCAAGGACGAGTGCTTCGATCACAGACCATACCTCAATTACTTATGCAACCACGAATTCATTGAATTGCCTCAAATGTAAGCAAATGTCATTCAGATTTTTTAAATCCTTATGAATATGTGTACTGTCACATATATTCATGACATATCTCATTACCTACTGGCACATCCGTTTTTCATCACACAATGTGATTATTTATACAGCAATATTATATCACTGTCTGGGATTCACGAACAGTGAGTGCTGAAACCATAAATGTTTAAAAGTTGTTGATAAGCTTTAACGTTTCAAAATGTGTATACTACATTCCCGAATCATAATGCAGCTCTTTCTGACTATGAAGCACTATTCGTAATATTTTGTCATAACACTCTGAACAATCAGTGTACGCGCTGATATGTATCATCTGCAATAACGAGAATTGTCAAAGCAATGATCATTGAATGGCCTACATTTCATAACAAAATCGTGTGTAGAATGACAAAGTTTTCTAAAATGGGGCACAATTCAGGCAACAATTAATATTCGCATTAAACTGTGAATCTACTCACCACTTTGATTTACTTCTCCGCCTCACCTGTTTTCCAAAAAAAAAAAATAAATAAAGCACACTTTATATTCACACATTCTGCCTTGCCGCCATATTTGTTTACTACATTATGTCTTCCTATGTTACACTCTGATCCATAGTAGTTTGAACCGTTTGAACCTAGTATTTACTTTAATCGTTGCCGTCACATCTTTGGAGACTTATCTGTGAAGTCAATACGCGCCAAAGTTAAATGCGGACTATTTGTTTGCTTATATTTAACAGTGGTGCCAGTGACTAAAGCGTCGAATAGCATGATGATTAGTGAATGGAGAGTAGCGGTTATGCCCTAATTTGAGATATTATCCCAACTTACTTGTCTATTCAGGCCCTGACCAAGTACCAGTAGCTGTGGGCACAGTGTAACAGCAGGTTGACAATCTGAGGTTGGTAAAATGAAGATGAATAACCTCCACTGTTGGACAAATAACACTTGAATCTGGTTGACATCTCTCACTATGACAACAGCTGCTGTCCACAGGCAACAAACATGCCACAAAACGGAAAGGAAAACTATAAATAATCACAACTCTTAAAATTAAATTTCAAGATTATTTACAGTGTAACAAATATAATTATCTATAGATGGCCTCTGAAACATAACCTGTATTACTATTCATAACTTAATTTATGAATTAACATTAACCACATCCAAATAATATAACTTAATCCTTAAGTCCTTGAGAAGCAAACAGCCAAACAACTAATCAAGATATTCCATGCCTTTTATGGAACCTGAAGATTCATGATGGTGTTACTGATCCATCGGGACCACGTAAATCCAGTCCATATTCCTGGATTCAGTAACAGCAACATTATCTTTGAAGCTGTGTCAAAACTGACAAACATTACAAAATTAAATATTACTGAAAGCCAATGATATTATCTTTAGAACCAATAATCAGTCATGTAAGATTGCATTTACAAACGTAATAAAGGTTAAGATAATACACATGACAACTGTACCTTTCAAAAAAGCAACATATTCAATCAGCACCTACAACCAGGGCTTTTCTCAACTGGTACACACCAGTGTGCCTACCAGTAAATTTGTCCAGTCATGAAACTGCAGATGCATTGCAGTTTTTTAACAGAGGCTGAAACCAAACATGAGAGTCCTGACAAGCATGTTATTAGAAAAAGAGAGCCCCACAGAACACAACAAGGCCAAAAGTACATACTCATAACAGTGGATAATATTTTCTAAAATTGATGGCCTTTACTACAGTAGATTCTAACTGCACTGTCACATTAATTCTATGAAATTAAATTGTAACATTCAGTGCGTGGAGTGTGTTAATAAGAACAAAAGTTTACGTATAAGGAGAAAGTGTGTGAAACAGGCAAAAGAGGAGTGGCAACTTCCCATACTTCATTGACATAATTAATTTGATACAATATAAACTTTTTGAACATGTGGTGACACTAAATTAGTGAACTGTTATCTGTAAATTCTGGAATTTTTAATTCTGCATAGATAAAAACACATTCAAAACAATTTGCCACTCTTTGTTTCCAACACACATCTCTATTAATCTTTCTAAACGAGAGTAATATACAGCACACTCAGCTACAGGGCACAATTGTTTGAAAATTCCATTTCAACACCATGTGGTTCAGTCAGAACCGAACACTTTCGGCAAACATACTGGTCAAATCCTACACCAAGCAAGACACTTGACTCCCCCTAAGCTAAGCACGACTGCAATCCATACACCAATAATCTTGAATCAGCTCCCCTCCCCAAAATCTTCATATCCCAAAAACCTCTAGCCAGAATCCCAACCCAGGGACACCATAAAGGGAATAGTGCATCATATATACCCATGACCTACTTTAAACAAATAATTAGTAACACAATCAATGAACACAGTGGCAGAGTGCAATAAACTATAATGCAATGTCCTTTATTTCAATTACCCATTACATCAGTACAATGAAGTATTTATTGAAACTCCTTTTAAAATTACACGACACATTTTAAGTGTTTTTATAAATCAACCTTAAAGGCAAAATTGAATACAATGTGAATATAACCAAATCTTTCTCATTCCCAAAAACTGAAACATAAGTCCAGGCACTGAAAGAAAAACTAAAGAACTCTACAGCTGTCCCCCACGAAGACGAAGTACAAGGTGGAGTGTTGACTCTTTCTGGATGTTGTAATCTGATAATGTACGTCCATCCTCCAGCTGCTTGCCAGCAAATATCAACCTCTGCTGGTCTGGAGGAATTCCTTCTTTGTCTTGAATTTTTGCCTTCACATTCTCTATTGTATCTGAAGCTTCCACTTCAAGAGTAATGGTTTTGCCAGTCAGTGTCTTTACAAATATCTGCATGCCTCCTCGAAGCCTCAAAACTAGATGAAGAGTAGATTCTAAAACAAAAATTGTTAAGTATATGTTATTAAACATGTCAAAAACAGGGTTACTTCAAAGCAGATAGAAGGCAGAACGAAATACAGCGAAACTGCAAGAGCATGTACAGATAAGGTAGAGTGAATTATATTCTACCAAAGAAAAACCACTGGTGCTCTCTTAGTACTACATATATGAATGATATAAACCATTACGTAAAACAGGAATATCCCACCATTTCACTTTGCCATAACAAGTTATTACTGATTAGCCACCACTGTTAAGTTACTGGAACACAATTCAACTAAAAGCTCATTTACGAGTAAGTGGCTAAGTCATCACGCTGAATGTCACAAAGTACTTCTATGCCACGGTTAAAATTTGACCGTCTACATTAATGTCACAGAATCAGTGATTTCATTTGAACAATGCCAAAATGTCATAGTAATGTATGGGAGTAATCGGAACATACCTTTCTGGATATTGTAGTCTGACAAGGTTCGTCCATCTTCCAGCTGCTTACCAGCAAAGATCAGTCTCTGTTGATCTGGTGGGATGCCTTCTTTGTCCTGGATTTTTGCCTTCACATTTTCAATTGTGTCAGATGCCTCTACCTCTAATGTGATAGTTTTGCCAGTAAGAGTCTTCACAAATATTTGCATTCCTCCACGAAGTCTAAGAACCAGATGAAGAGTGGACTCCTTCTGGATATTGTAGTCCGACAATGTTCGGCCATCTTCCAGCTGCTTGCCAGCAAAGATCAAACGCTGCTGGTCTGGAGGAATGCCTTCTTTATCCTGAATTTTGGCTTTAACATTCTCAATAGTATCTGATGCCTCCACTTCCAGTGTGATGGTTTTACCAGTCAGTGTCTTTACAAAAATTTGCATCCCCCCTCGAAGCCTGAGAACAAGGTGAAGAGTAGACTCCTTCTGGACATTATAGTCAGACAGTGTTCGGCCGTCTTCAAGCTGCTTGCCAGCAAAGATCAATCTTTGCTGGTCTGGTGGAATGCCTTCTTTATCCTGAATCTTGGTTTTGACATTCTCAATAGTATCTGATGCCTCCACTTCCAAAGTGATGGTTTTACCAGTAAGGGTTTTCACAAAAATCTGCATGATGGACCTAAAAACATACCCAAGAGTTTCAGCTTACTCTTACCAAATTACTGCACATCAAACCTAACAACCTATACGATGAAAGCTAAACCCCACAGGCCTCAGTAAGATGTCAGGCGCAGCCACAACAGATCACCGTGGTCGCGGTGCAAGGGCCAAGACACCCTCCAGAAATTGAAATGGAACCTTCTGACACATCCGCGGTACAGTCCCGATTTCGCCCCAAGTGATTTCTACCTGTTTGGAAGGCTCAAATCAGACTTGCAAGACATGCGGTTTGTGGACGATGACGCCGTCATCCAGACTGTTCGGGAGTGGATACGCCGCCAATCACAAGCCTTTTTTGAGAAGGGCATCAGGATGCTTCCAGAACGCTGGAAAAAATGTGTTGACTCCGGAGGGGAGTACGTTGAAGACTGACATGTGAAAGTAAGTGTTTGGCAATTATGGTTTAAAAAAAATCAGTCTTGGTCATATTTGAACCACCTTGTATTATTATGATTATATTTACAAAATCACCATGTCTCATGATTGAAGAAAAAACTACTGATAAGTCCTTTGGAATTTCATAACATGTTGTTGCGTGTTGCCTATGCAGCACAATAAATAATTATTTATTGAACGTTCACTCTTACACACTGAAGTACAAGTAGTATCACTTTTACTGCTTCTGCAATTCCACTGACTCGATCCAACTAATTTGGCAAATGCTAGTAGACTCTGTCTTCCAACCTTGGCTTCTGTTGGGGCTATATTTCAACTGAACTGTGTGGATGATTTCAATCCCCTTATATAGGCGTTTTTCGAACTGCTTAGTGAACACTGTCTTCAACAGTTCGGGTTCACATGTTCTATGCTCGTTACTGCGGAAGTGCATTATTCCTTCTGGTTAAACAATCCGTTGCTTAGGAAATGCATTATTCCGCTGTTACAGTAATCCGTTGCTTTGGAAGTGCAATATTTCCCATTGTTACACAATGCTTCTAACAATTCGTTGTAACTGTGGAGACTCATTGTATGAATTACGATATTGCGTTGCTTCCGTTGCCTAGGAATGGGTGCATTCTGGATGTAGCGGGAACGTGGGTCGTTGCCTACAAGTGATGGTTTGGATATGCATGTTACAATATTTGTATAATAAAGATTACAGTTAATTTTCATTTGTAAAAATTGTTCTTTTGTGTATACGTGAAGTGGGGGGGGGGTGAAAGAGACGGTGAACTTGTCATTAGATATAATACAGTGCAATAAAACCGGCCATCAATTCAAAACCTGTCCATAGTCACTCAATCACGTGACAAATACTTTTAAATTCATCTAAGACCAGAAATGGGGGTGATAGTGAAAATTTAACGTCACATCTACGTAAAATGGAACTCGAAACAGTAATTATACACGATATACATTAGTCGTATACTCTTACAACACACGGAAGCCTATATCTTACTGTAACTGACCACAAACTTGGGCAATGCTACTGCAGAAACCATAATTTAAGAAAAAAATTAACAAACGCTGGGTTCAATGACCTTGGACTCTTCATAAAACTCAAAATGGCGGAGATATCGCCAACATTCTAATAACAGATTTCCAACTAAAAATTAAAAATCTGAAAATAGACATTCCCGTCTTCTACAAAACTAACCACAATGCTTCATAAAATACTTGCCTTTCAGGATGTCACATGCAACTTCCACTTCAAATCTTACTTCAAACAATTATTTGTTCACTGCTCGACCTCCACTTGAGACTAATTCTGCTTCTCTAGTTGGGTGAGATCAGACGAGATCGGACGAGATGAACGAGCGCGACAAAGATGGTTTTCATTGGGCAAGGACACATACTATGCCATTGGTTCATTCTGTATGACGCAATGACATCAGGAGAAGCATCCAAATAGAGCGAAATTCCCTACAATAAAGGAGCCCTTGCACTACAAAATTCACTGTAAGATATTGGTTTTTCTGATAATGGTGGAAAATTACATTGCAGATCGTGAAATGACGTCATAAATACTGCATTAGAAGTATGGCTAGCCAAATGGTATTGGTTGAGGAGCGTGAAAGTAGTTTGGGTTGCTTGGGTGTTCTAGAGCATGACGTCGTCTAGAGCAGTCTTAAAAGATAAGAATTTCAGCAGTGTATTGAAAGATAAAACTACTTTCACGTTCACGTAGTTCACGTATAACTTCTCACAGCAATATGAATTCAGAATCGTTCAGAATCTTCAGAATCATTGTGTCATGATGGTCATGATGTCATGATTGCCCAAAGCTAAATGACGTCATAGATATTGCATTGAGATTGAAAGTGTAGCTAGCGAAGTGCTATTGGCTGTAGAGGGATAAAGGCAATGTGGGTTCTAGATTAGTATCTGAAAAGATAACATTTTCAGCAACGTCTTAAAAATATAACTACCTTCATGGATGACTTTTCACATTACTACCAATTCTAAGCCTGTCCGTGGTCTTTCTAAGCCGTTCTCGGGGTTGTTCTAAGCCACAATGGCCACAATTATGGAGCTAGAAGGGACGGCCATTGCTAAGGTACGGCCAATAAAAACTTTCCGCTTCAACGAATACACGAACGCAATTACCAATCCAAGCGCCGTGTCTAGCCGCTAAAATCGTGACAGTATTATGCTCGTTTAAGTGGCATAATTTCCTTCAGTTATGAACATTAAATCTCGGGCGATCAGCCGTGTCAAGGTTGAGTACATTTATTCCCCGTGAAAGCTTAAATTGTTAAATTTCTAAAGTGCATTATGTCGGAATGTATGGGAAAGAGATCAGGCGCAAATGAGCCAACACTGCTAATGTTACAATGCAGTCGTGTTTGAATCTCACCTCGTTCCGTAACATCTGTGGGTACTGGAGGGGATAACGGACGTCATGACGGTCATGACCCCTCCCCCCTCTTATTACCACCAAGTTCATAGGTTGAACAATTTAACAGAACTCTAATGGCAGCCCAGTATACTTAGTGGGATGAGGACCTCCCATCTCTTGCCATGACTTTGAATTCTGGGTGCAGTACTTTGCTACAAGTACTGGGTGGTTTGAACATTTTAAAGGATGCAATGGATTCCAGAACCTTCTTCAAAGGGGTGAAACTGCAGTGACTGATTCAATTACTGCTGAAGAATTTTCAGTGCTCCTCCAAGTGACAATTTAAAGGTATGGATATTTGCCCCAGCAAGCATTAGGTGTGGATGAGATGGGGTTGTTCTAGAAGTGGACACTGAGTAGAATACCTTTCTCAGTGGAAGACAAGGTGGCCTCAGGATTTAAAGCTACCAAGAATTGTTTCACACCACTGTTTGATGTACTCGTAGGTGCAACTGGAGACTATAAAATCAAACTTCTGATGATATATTGCCCAGAAAATCCTAGATCACTCAAGGGTTACCTAAAACGGTTTTGCCTGTTTTATGGCAATTTAATAAGAAACCTTGGATTGCAACAAGTTTCAGTGTACACATACAGTGTGTCCAAGTTCTGTTAGGGCTGTGTTCATTAAAAATACAAGACTTGAATTATTTTCAAAATTTCACTCTTTTTATTCAAAAATAGTCTCCTTCTGAATCAATACATAGCTGGAATCGATTGAAAAGTTTTTGAAAACAGTCACTGTACTTCTTTTGTGGAATCGCATTTAAAACTGCAGTGGATTCCCTTTGGATGTCCTGGATGGTGTCGTGACGGTCTCCTTTCATCGCCAACTTAACTTTTGGGAACAACCAGAAATCTGTTGGAGCCAAATCTGGCGAATACGGAGGATGATCAAGGACTGTGATTCCTTTTCTGGCCAAAAATCGCGCACGATCTTCGATTTGTGGGGTGGGGCATTGTCGTGGAGGAGCGACCAGGAACCTTGCTTTCGATATTCAGGTCGAATTCGAAGAATTCGCTCCTACAAACGATTGAGGACTCCGAGATAATAATCAGAATTCACTGTTTGACCTTCTGGCAGAAATTCCTTGTGAATGATTCTTTTGGAATCGAAGAAAACGGTTAGCAGTGTCTTTACTCGACTCTTTGCACTTTCTATGGTTTCGGCTACTTTGGGCTCAACCACGCTGCACTCTGCCGCTTTGTGAAAGGCTCATATTGAAAACACCATGTCTCGTCACCAGTATCAATCGATTTTGTAAATTTTGTATACTTTGGGCCGACTGTAACATGTCTTTGCTGTGTTTCACTCTGGCATGTTTTTCATCGCCTGACAGCGCATGCGGTACAAACAGTGCACATACCTTCCGTTTGCCCAAATCCTCGGTCAAAATTTGATGCACAGTACTTTTTGGTATTCCCAAAAGCTCTTCGATGAGTCTAGCAGAAACACATATGTCTGATGCGAGGATTTCGGACACTTTTTTCACACTTTCTTCAGTGCAACTTGTTCTCGGCTTTGATGCACGTGGAGCATCTTCCATGTTCTCCCTGCCGTCATGAAATACAGCATACCGAAAAATGTTCGAGCGACTCAATCATTACCGTACACACTTTTCATCATTTTGTACGCTTCTCCGGCTGTTTTGCCTAACTTCAAACAAAATTTTATGTTGGCTCTCCGTTCAACCGTCATTTTCCGACGAGCGTCAGAACAGTACTGTTACATTCAGGGTCAGAACACATGATGCAGCGATGCTTGTGCTTTGAAATTATAGACAGCTACAGCTGGAACTTCAAGAATCTTAATGCCACAACTCACCAACAGATGACATTGCAGGGCAAAATTTAAAAAAATGAGTCCTAACTGATCCTGGACACACCGTGTATGTACCCTTTAAAATTCTACTGCTACTGCCTAATGCTCTGGGACGCGTGCCACGCATTTCTGTTAATGTAACATTCCAACATCCGAACATCACATTTCTTCTTTATTGTTTGCATCTTGTTGTGTATTACTATATTTTATTATCATATAACTGTCACCACAACAAATTCATAATAAATCAATATTACTGTATTAATATTCATTTGTTACGTACATTTAATACAAGTAGTACATTTCATGAATATTGCCTGATGATGATCCAGCTGGATCAATACATGTAGCAAATAATAATGTGCATAATAAACAAATGTTAATGCAGTAATATCCATTTATTTATTATGAATTTGTTGTGTTGACAGTTGTATAATAATATATCACATTCCTCATTCAATCAAAGGGTCAGGGTGTTATTGCAACATATGAGTTATCATCTCAGGAAAATGTTTGCCTAACTAGTTAAGGGCACAGCTGACAGTGATGACCAACTTTCTGCGTAAGATTTCTGCAAGAATTTTAACATCAAAAGGCTACTGATAACACTGGAGGTACATGGGCAGAAGTGTTGCAGTCCTGCATCAGTGTAGTTTGGAGAAATACTTGGCCTGATGTAGTCATTGACTTCCATGGCTTTGATCCTGAAGAGGATATTAACAATTCAAGGCATGCTGCTGTTGATATGGCTAGGGCTGTTGGATTTGAGAATGTAAATGAGACCAGTGTGGATGAACTGTTTCAGTCCCAAATGGAGGACCACATCAGTGTAAATATTCTGGAGCTGGAGAAAGAACTAAATGATGAAGATGATGAATCCTCTAATGTGAAACCTGTTAAACACCTTTCAACAAAGCAAATCGCTAAATTTCTTAACCGTACTGACACTGCATTTAGTATCTTAGATTATAATTATGACAACAGAAGAGAACTGCCAAAGTTCCAGAATAACTGAAAGTTGTTAGAATGAACTCTATAGAGAGAGGCAAAAGGCAGCACATCAGCTCTTGACATTACTCCTTCAAGACACATCAAAGTTTTCAATCCACTGGCTCTGCAAAAGTGCTGGTCCAGCCTGACCATGCTCCACTCACCAGCATCCACTGTCATCTGACTGAATTGAATATAACATAGCAACAAGGAATACACATATATGCACTAGGGGAACCATACATCAACAACTTAGCATCAACACAGAAAAACAGCAGTTTCCTCACCCATGACTGTTAACAACTGATGGTGACCATTTTTGGTTATAACATGTCATAAAAACTTTTAATTTGTTATTGACAAATAATTTTGTAATAAATACAGAGAAGACCAAAGCAATACTATTTCAGGAAAGAGGTTCTAGTTTAATTCATAGACCCATTCTGTATTTAAATAACAAAGAAATGACTTATTTATCAAATTTAAAATGTTTAGGTGTTTATATCACAGAGAACTTAAGCTTGGCCACTCGTATACAATAACTTTGTCAAATATTAAACGAAGCTCTTTATTTGGTTAAAACCTTATGCGACTCAGTAAGTATACTTGTATTAAGAAATATTTATCTAACAAAATTTCAATCTAAATTAAAATATGGTATTATATTTTCAGGGGAGTAAATAACAGTAATGCAGTATTTAAAACACAGAAAAAAGTCTAAGACTTAATAAAGGAGTTAAAAACAGGGTGCCTTGTAGAAATGTGTTTGGTGATTTTAAGATTTTAACTGTATCTTCAATATATTTATTTGAGATCTTGTGCTTTATGAAAAAGAATAAGATCTATATGACTCAATATTCTGATATTCATCAGTATAACACAAAAGGAAAACAGGCTTTGTATGTTCAATTATGCAACACTGCTCATTGTAAAAAAAAATAATATGGGAATAAAATACATAATAACTTATCCTTCAAATTAAAAACAACAGAAAATTTTTAGGTATTTACAAATAAATTAAAAGTTATTTATTAGAAAGCTGTTTTTTTTCTCTACAAGAGTGTTTTTAGTAACAATGATAGGGGGTAGTTTGGTAATTTG